GGGATACTGCTGGCCAAGAGAAGATTCCAAAGTCTAGGTAGTTTGTCCTTTTATCGTAGTGGCTAGTGCTGTTTTCAGGAGTGGCATTTTACCGTGGTGCTGATTGCTGCTGTTTGGTGTATGACATAACTAATCCCAAGAGTTTCGAGAGTCTGGATTCCTGGCGGGATGAGTTCCTCATACAGGTAGCCGTTGGAGATCTCCTTGCTTATATCGAGTATTATCACATCAGGCGTCGCCTAAGGATCCAGAGGAGTTCCCATTTGTGGTAGTCGGGAATAAATTGGATATGGAGGCAAAGCGAAAAGTACTAGGGTTGTTGGCCTCATCGGTGCGCTTGTATCGGGTCATTCTGGCTAGGTATCGAAGGCAAGAGCGACTACTTGGTGCAGATCCAAGGATAATATTCCGTGTTTCGAGACTAGCGCCAAGGATTCCCTGAATGTTGAGCAGGTTCTGTGGGAATCGGTTCTGTCCCATCGTTTATTAATTATATTAGGCCTTCATTGAAATTGCACGACGGGCGCTGCAGAACGAGGCGGCAATGGCTAAGGAGCAGGAACAAATGTGAGATACCAATCATCGATCTATGTTTGATGTCTTCTATTATTAGGTATTTATCCCAAACACTTAACTTGAATAATCCTCCGGCCGACAATCAGAGCTCTAATGTGCAGCAATGCGAGTGCTAGAAGCGTACCATTGTTTACCGTGGTCATCAGCATCACTATAGTGTCGTTTCTCGTTCATAGTACTATTTGTCCTTTGCTACTGCTGCTACTACTATTGTGGCCCATAGAATGACAAGCTGGCTTGATCCTATTTCTCGACAACGATGGCTCTGACGATGTTGCATATATAGTATCTAGTAGTCCCGTCTCAGTAACCAGTAACTTGGATTAGTTGTGCGTCACAATTCCTGGGTCTCATATGGTGATACACAGAGACAAGAAGAGAGATTCCGAGTTTGATATCGCACTGACGCAGTCAAATTGGACGGCATGATCTACGCTACCTCGAAATTTCCGGATACATAGTTTCGACAGTGCGACACATCCTCACAATGTTATTGATCATACTCCTGTTCGACTGCATTCGGCACATACTCTGTGCAAAGTTTATCCTCGAGAACATGTGATGGGGTACAACGTTGTTCAATGCTTTGAACAGGGTCAACGCAATTCAACTCCAGATCAGAGAGTTGCTCGTCTGAATCATGCCGTTATCATACCACCAACTGGGGGTGTAGTAGTTGCTCCACATTGCCTAGAGTGTTTATAGATCGGTTTAAGATGTTTTGACCCTGTTGCGCATCCGACTTCGGATCGGAAGGTTGCCCGGTCGGATCAAGCCGAGACCCTGCACCTGTTTCCATGTATGAAGTGGGGAGTGTAGCGATCACTCTGTCTTGCCTTTAGTGCTTAAATACGATATTCAGTTTGGCCCTGTGGCGCAACGGTAGCGCATCTGACTCCAGATCAGAAGGTTGTCCGTTCGAATCGGGCCGGGGTCACATAGCTAGTTTATTATATGAAGTGAGGAATATAGCGCTCGCTCTGTCTTGTCTTGAGCGTTCAAATATTTTTTTCAGTTTGGCCCTGTGGCGCAACGGTAGCGCATCTGACTCCAGATCAGATGTTGTCCGTTCGAATCGGGC